AGTTGTTCATCAAGTTCATTATATTCTGCAATATCTCTAATAGGAGATTTTGTTTGTTCAAAGACATTGTCACTTCTGTCGCACCACATTAAACCGTGTTCTATACTTGTATTCATATCAATTCTATTTATTTTATCTGTCAATTGATTATCATTTTCAGCGACAGTATCTGTTGAGTTAATTTGGGTTTTAAGAAATGTTTCAGAATTTGTTCCTACTATCTCCAGTACTGCAACAGTATTTTTTGTTTTCGAACTTTCTTTACTATTAGTTGGAGTTATATCATCTTTACAAGTTTCATTTATTGTTAGATGTTCTCTAATAGCATCTTGTTGTTGTGTTCTATTGTTATTTTGAAATAATCTTGTATGACATATTGCTTCATCTAAGGATTGCTTTATACATAATTCCAAATCAGATAATTTTGATGCTAAATTAGATTGTTTTTGTAATAAATCAGTACCACGAAGTTCTCCTTCTAATAATATCATCGTACGTTCCTCTAATGTTAAATTTATTTGGCGATCAGGATAAGGTTCTTCGTATTCTTCATCTGGTATTTCTATTATTTGTACACGTTCTTCGTCGGGAACTGTCTCGAAATCATTCATACTGTTTACTGGCTTTGAACGTGTTATTAACTCGGTCCTTTGCTCCACTTTTTTTTCAATTTTTTTATCATCCTTTTGCTTTTGTTTCTCCATTTGTTTCCTAATTTTCATTAACTTCTTGGCCTCATGTATGTTTTTCGCAAATTTAGGTTTTTTTATCTTCACTTCGCTCAAAGAAGGTAAATCATTTTCATTGAGTAATGGTCTCTTTTTTAATGGCAAATTGTTTTCACTTGACTGCATTTCTACTTGCAGAATATCTCCATTACTGTTGTTTTGATCGCAGTACGATTCGATATCGGTCAAATATACATCATCTTTATTTATATCATCATAATTTTCATTCTGTAATTGCAATTTCATTTTATTTATTTGTGTTTCTCCTATACTGTCTGACGTCTCACTACTTGAATTACTGACATGATTGGTTTCTTTATTTAAACCAGACGAACTTGATTTACTTGTTGTAGCACTTGAGCTAGAAGTACTAGATTGTGAACTTTTGCTATTAGATCCATTTGAACCATCTCTGTCGGTGGAACGACGGTCGTTAGAATTTTTCCGTAAACTAGAATGATCATCCTTTGCTTTTGATTTCTTATCGTCTCTTCTCTTTTTATCCTTAGCTTGTGCATCACTTTTGGAATCTTTTTTAATATCTACAGACTTTTCATTACGATCCGTTGTTTTACTTTGCATTTGAGTACGTACATCCTTCTTACAAATCTTATCACCGATAATTCTAATATCTTTTTTTGCTTCTGTCTTTTCTTCTTTGCCATTCTTAGATATCTTTTTTACATCACTTTTTTCAGATTTACCTGAAGATTCTGTTTTCATAACATTACTTTTATCCTTACAATCTTTTGAGCCACGCTCATCACGTTTTGCTTTCTCTTTAGATTCGGATTTTTTCTCTTTAATATCTGACATTTTGTCAGACACCTTGTTAACTTTGTTTTCATGACGACTTTTTTCATCATGATTTTTTGAAGTAGAACTTCTATGTTCTTTTTTGTAAGACTTTTTATCTTTAATTGAATCTTTTTTATCCCTAGATTCTTTGTTAGACTTTACATTATCCTTATTTAATTTTTCTTTTTCCGTTAATTCTTTCTTCTCTCTAAGTTCTCTAATTTTTTCTTTATAAAGATCTTTCAAATCTTTTGCTTCCTTACTGGTACTAGTTTCTTTTTTATCAACCTCTTTTACCTTTTCTTCTTTAATTTTACTTACATTATCTTTAACGCTCTCTGCAATATCTTTGCTTTTTTCAACATCTTTTATTTGATTGGATTTATCTTTAACCTTACCCTTAATATGTTTATCGTGTTTTGAACTACTATGACTACTCTGCTTCTTCTTTTCATTGTCTTTCTCCTTATTTTTTAGATCCTTGGAATATACTTTTTCTTTTGTAGATTTAGACTTCGAATTTTCACTATCTTTATGCTTATCTTTATATAATTTACTGTCATATTTGTCCTTTGTACTATTGTCTGTTGCATCGCTAGAATTTTCCTTGGATGGTAAATTAAGTTTAATGCTTTTTGTTGTATCTTTTGCATCTTTAAAGTCAAATGTGCTTTCTTTACATTTCTTTGATTCAAAAATGTTTTTATTATTTTTATTCTTAAAAGATTCAAATTCTCTAAGAGCTCTGAAATTATCTTTTGTGGATTTATTCTCACACTTATCTTTTGAAGTTTCTTCTTTGATACCATCATGTATCGGCGTAGAAGCGTGATTAGACAATCCAAAGTCAGTTACTATTGATAATCTTGAATCGGACGAAACTTTACTAAGTTGTGAATCTTGATTGCTGCAATCAAAATTATCCTGCGATATCTCATTGGAGAAATCAGGACTTCTAGATCTATGACTTGTCAACTCGGATATACCAGATAAATGTGAATCGTTAGATATATTTGACTCATTTAAATTCATAATATCAATCGGCTCAAAAGTTGGACTATCTTCTTCTTCTTCATCTGCTTTGTCATCTGATTTTCCAGATATATTTAAACTTATATTATTAACAGTCTTATTAAAACTTACACACCCTTCATCCAATATTTTTTCTTCAGAGGAGGCATGTCCATTCTCAGAAACCGGATCTTTATTTCTTTCCATCATTTCTAACTTTTGTTCATCAGACGATTGTTCAGATTTTTCATCTTGCTTGACATCAAGATCATCTATCGCATCTACAGATTCAAGTGACACATCCTTCAAACTGTTTTTGTCAGATTCTGGTGAAACTGGATCTAAATCTTTAGGCAATAGATCTTTAAGACCACAACTACTAGATTTTTCTTTAGTTTTGGGTCTTTCAATACCTAAGAATTTGTATACAACATCCTCTATTTGAGGCATGAATACTGAATAGACCTTTGGATTTACTACTTGATCGACTATACGTTCAACTCCAGCATCTAAATATGGTGCTTCGTGTATATGCTTACGCAATGTTTCTCTGACTTGATTTTTATTAAGTTCTGGCTTCCATAACTGCTTGTCAAGAAATGAATTAACAGACCCCTCCACTCTTGTACGTAGATTTTGATACGCAGGCTGTGTGAGAGATAATATTTAATTATTTACTGTTTCTTTATAAACGCCAAAACAAAAACTCCAATAAAATGTTTCTCTGATATTATTTAGATGACACTTATATTAGAGAAAAATATAAACATACAATTTATATACCTTTGTGTCAACATCGGCTATGCATTCCTTACGAAATTGATCAAAAATACCCTGCGATTTGACTTCACCAACGATATGATCTACAAGACGTGGATCGCCGGCTAACAACGTACTAGATAATCCTAACTCCATTCTAAATATTATTATAATAGAAATAAATATCACTCGATTACGATCAAGAGCCAAAAGAGTTTTTTCTACTAAAGTCGATCTGTGAAATAGTGAGCAGCCATATTTGTTTGGAACCATTGTCTACGCAGTAATGCCAAGCAATACATTTATTTCGATACCAACTTAAAAAAAAAATCTCTATAATTTACTCGCGATTTTTCAGGCTGTTCACTATCTTTTGCGACAGGTATGGACAAAATATGAACTACGAATCAAGCGTCTACATGTATCGGTGTATAAGCTTGTTGGTTATTCCTCTCTCACGCGACATAATTATTGGTTTAGTGTGGATTTGCTTAGTAGACTGTAAACTCACACTTTTCAGTCTCTCATTATATATATACATATATATATATATGTATCTTTCTTTGACGGTATCTATAAATAACAGTAAATAATTTTTATTTGTTCTATTTATAATTTATCCGATCTACTTTTTACATTTTTAAATAAAATTAGTATCTCTTTTATAATTATTTTAAAAATATTATTTTTAATTATGTATATGTTTATATATAGAATTGCTTATTACAAAACTGCGTACGTATCTGCATAAATGCTTTCGCATCATACTTACAGATATATCGATCTAATTTATTGAATAAATTTAAATACTACTTATACCACATTTTTCAATCGTTTCAAGTAATGACTGCAAATTAGTCTCAAAAAGTTCACACCTGATTGGCATTTCTAAAGAATAAAATGGATTCTTGAGAGCATAATCTGCATAAAGTTCGTATACTTTTTTCGTCAAAATTTCCATTCCTAACTGTGATGGCTCTGCCACTATCATAAATTTAATTCCAGTGAGCGTTTGATAGCAGTATAAGCGAAACGTGTCTGCTTCTAGAATTTCAATTCCAGAACATCGGGGTTCAGGGCTCAACTGACTAGCTATCGCAAATAGAGGATAAAACATAGATGCGAGAAAAATTTTCTCATTAGTTGTCATTTTTGCACGACTAAACTTTAGCGTTACAGGAAAATTTTCTGGTTGATTTAACATTTCCAGCACATCCCTTCCATCTTCCAATTCATTGCCGATAACGGGACTACCGTTTACAGCAGTTAACATATGGCCTACTGAATAAGAATACTCTATTAAATATACAACTAAATATAAAGAATATGTTCCTAATAATTTAATAATATTAATAAAATCTATTACCATTTATACCATCTTTTTGACCAAAAGATACAACAATCTTTTTATTTTCATAATTTAATTTTATATCCAATGGATAAGCGAAAGTTCTTTCATTTTCCACTTTGGGAATATTGTGATCATGATTAAAAATTAAACCTCCCGATTTTGATACAATATAAACACCGTATATCACCATTATTAAGAAAATTAAAGGTTATGTGTCTCTATTTATAATCTAGCAATGCACACCTCAAAGTATACCAGATCAGCTGTTTAGTTTAATTACTAACATCGTCACTTGCCGTAATTTTTCGAAATTAATTTTTATACGTTGGCACAACTTGTTTAGTACTCTTATTATTTTTTTTTTTTCCCCAATAGTACATATATATAATCAGTGTGTGAATTTTCACTAGAAGTATCTATAATGTTTTGCAAAAATATTGAGTAAAGTATATATCAGTTTTCTTATATCGCTTTTAAATTGATTATAACAATCCTTAAAATCCCATGTTGTTATTTTATATGGTACATAATTATATATTTACATTCTTTACTCTAACTTTCTGTTACATTTTATAATTTAGTTAAAAAATAATGTTACAAAGTGACAAATTGTATTATTAAAGTTTATTAAAAAAGGATAAATCAAATAAATTTCATTTAAATTTAATCATAATATGTAGTAAATAATAAATAATTTTGCAGGATCAGTATGACACGTAAGTGTGTGCTATGTAAAGAAACAAATTATAAAAATACTTATAGTTTCTTCTCAGCTCCAAAGGATCCAGAAACACGTAGAAAATGGCAAGCTGCAATTGCTATAGAAAATTATTCTGTAAGCGATGATACATATGTTTGTAGTAAACATTTTCATAAAAGTGATATTATCACACATTGGGTTAGCGGAGTACCACCACATGTTATTACTGTGAGCTACATATTTACAAACATTTCATTTTTATAAAAATTGATCTACATATAAATATTTCAAATCATTTTAGATAAAGTATAAAAAATGTAGATTAAGACCAGGTGCAGTACCAGGTAGAAATATTCATCTTCAGTCAAAAAATAACGAAGCCAATGAAAAAAATCATTCCGATTTGTATGGTTTAAATGATTTTTTAACATTTCGTAATAATTTGGTGCAAAATATTGATAATAAAAAAGAGAATTTCCGTATACCTAAAAAGGACCAAATTTCAAATGCAGAAAAAGAATGTCTTGAATTTATAAATGAATATACACATGAAAATACTAATCGATCAACAAAGATGCAATCTTCAAAGGATGAATCAAATATAAACATGTCTGTTGATGATTCTAGAACACAATTAAGACTGCCTTCTAATAGAAATAATAAACATGAAAAAATAATGCTTACAAGTAATTACAATAATTTTGAAGTAAGTATTGAAGCAGATAATAATATAGAAAAAACAAGGCAAAAAGAAAACAATAATTATAATCAACTCTCTGGAACAAAACTTGAAAGAAGTAAAAATAATTCTTCAAATATATTCAGTTATTCTGAAGAGGATGAGACATCGGCAGATATGTGGGAACATGCAGAAGTTAAAAGCAAAACTTATATTATGGAAAAATGTATAGATAATACTTTACAGAAAAATAGAAATTTATATATGAAAAATCAAACATTAAATATTGTAAATGATCGTTTGAATAGATATAATGACTGTGTATATGATGAAATACGAGAACATGAAATCTTGTTTGAAGATTTATTGGAAATGTGTTTCGAAATTGCTTTACCAAGAGGTTGGTCGTGTAATGTAACTTCTGAAGGACATGCTACAACAATAGTATATCTGAGCATGGGAATGACAAAAACTGGTATGCCTTTTTTGGAAAAACAAGTATTTGTAAAAACTGATATGATATTACGGTGTAGTGCTTTAAATCAAGAAATTGATCCGATAATGTATAATCTTATAAGGGAAGGTAAAGATAATAAAGTGCAATGCTTGTTAGATATTGAGGAACTAATAGATGAATTTGACATAAGAATTATTTGCGAAGGTATGTACCAAATTATACAAATAGGTTATTTCTAATAATATGTATTAATCTTATTATCTCATTTAATTAGGCATAACTGAAAATTTTCAAGAATATAATTGTCCTAAAATAGCCTGTAAAGATGGTATACGATGGAGACATATACTATGCCCGCTCATTATAAATAACGATTCTATGAGATGTTCCAAATGCAGCATGTTATCTCATTTGATAAGACGCAGATCTAAAGAGTCTGTATCGTATAATTCCAATTTTACTTTAAGAGAACAAAGAAAAATGTATACACGCCAAAGAAACATCAGACATGCAAAAGAGCATTACACGAAATAAAAATGTTAATATTTAAAAAAGGTCTTGTACCTGGTTACATGAAGATAAAATGTACATATATTTTCAATGTTTTTATAATTCTTAGAAGTGACACAAATAAAAAGAATTATATTATTTATTGAAATATTAAATATGTTAAATTTTTTAAAATTGATCACTCATTTTACAAGTATATATATATATATATTTCTTCAATCAAAAGAAGAAAATTCTTTTTTCTTTTTTTTCTTTTACGACATTTTTTAAAACAAGTTTTCGTTTAGAACTATCTCAAGAAGATTGAATAATGTACAATGATAGACTTAACTTTTTATACCAAAAAATTTAACATAAGGTTTCGTTGATTAATTTTGTATAAAAAATAACTTTATTTTTTCTTTTTGGCCCATTCATTTTGAAGTTCTTGTAACATTTGTGGTGTTAGCAAACCTTCTGCCAATAATCTTTCTGTTAATTTACCCTTCCTTATAGGTAGAGAGGGTTTATGTTTATCAGTTTCCTTATTTCCTAAAGTAAAATATAGAAAAATCAATTTGCACACACTCCTACATATTAAAAATTATTAATATAAGTCACATATAATTATTAAATGTTAAAAATATAATATAATATTTTTTTTATTACTTTCACTTTCTTAACGGAGTTCTGTAATTTATTATTTGATTTAAATTTTACCTTTGTAAAAATTATTTTTCCGTGTTTGTAAATAAAATTGATCCATTTCTGAAATAGATGCTTCTGCGCTTGTCCCTTCTGTACAATGAAAATATTCTAATATGTTATCAATATTTAATATATAATAATGAAAATTGATATTTACCTGTTGCAGAATTATTTAATAATTGTGTCAATTGAAGTACTCCACTTTGGATAAGTGAATCTAATTCTTGCTGGACATCTCGTACTATAGTAGCATCGGGGAATAAATCCATAAACCGATAACTGCATTAAAAAATATGAGTTAAATTTGTTTTAAGTAAATATCTATAAATCTCTATATATATTATAAATACCTTAACCAAAGATATAAATCCATAACATCAAACACAGCTTCCAGATGAACAAGATCAAGTATAGATTTAGGTGTTGAAAATGGCCAACCAATATGTTTGCATAACCAATTAAAGGTAATTTTATCATTTTTACTATATTGACGGGCAAACTATAATAAATATCGTTCTATTATTATCATTTACTGTAATATTAACATATATTTAACATATATATTATTAAAATTTATACAATTAGTTTATTTCTAAAAAAAAATAAAGATTAGTATTTATACCTTTAGGAACATAGCACATGAAAATGGAAGTTTTTTATTAATTGGTGCACAACAGAATACGTATCGCGCACGTAATGGCAAAGGAACATGTTGTATCATATCGGCAAGAAACTTAAAATCTTCTGTATTACATATAAAGTATAAAGAATCATCAACTATAGATAGAGTTACAAAAATATCCTGAAATAATAAACATATTATTTCTTGTATATCAGCAATTAATGTATATGTAATTTATATTATTACCACAAGATTTGACAATGGTGTGTTTGGTAAATGATAAGCATATAATTCGATTTGATCTGATGTTGGATGAAGACCAGCTTGAATGATTGTCTCAGGTTGCTGACTGAGTAAATTTTTCAGTGTTGGAAGATCCTGTGATTTATAAGTTGTGACATAGCCCTAAATAAAAAATTCGCAAATGAAATGTTCCAAATATGAAATGAAAATTACCTTTTAGGAAAATTTTAAATTATGATATTACTGTTTCCCATTGTGTGCCATAACGTCCTGCCCTGCCTGCTATTTGCAAAGCTGTAGATACAGAAATTGTATCCATTTCTTTTTCTCCCTTTTCATTTACTGTTGGTTGTATTAAAGAGTAAAATATAATTCTTCTAATATGTCTGTATATAAAAAAAACACATTTTTTAACTTTAATATAATATCATAGAATATATATATTATATACATATATATATAGTACATTCTATGATAGTAGTATTTGTAAACATTTTCAATACTTGATAATGACATATAATACATAGGAAACTTACAAATTTAATCCCATTCCGATTGCATTTGTTGCTATTAATACTTTACAAGAATTATTTGGATCATTAAACTTAGCAGCTTGTGCAAGTTTTGTTCCTGGTGGTAAACTACCATATATTATTGCCGTTTCTATTCCTTCTGCTTCTAGTTCACGAGATACAGCGAATATATCATTTTTATTGAAGCAAACTATACAGTCACTAGATTGAATATTTTTAAATGTTTGTAGCGCTTTATCTTCTACTTCTAATTTAGTTAATCGTTTATATTTTCGAATTTCTGGAGTTTCACCCGTTGTGAGACATATAGCATTTACCTATCAAAAATAATGTTACGATCAGCAAATAAAAAATAATATGAAGTATATCAAAAGTAAATAAATTGGAAAGATAGACAATTACTAAATCTATTGCAGCTGTTTCACCACAAAGATGTATTTCATCGGCAGAAATTCCAAGAAGAGCTCTTGTCCATGCCCACCCTCTCCCAGGATCTTTAATTAATTGAATTTCATCAATTACTGCAACCTCATCTACAATAAAAAATAATGATAAAATAGTTACATAATATACCAAGAGCAATATCCAAAAGAAAGTTTAGAAATAGTTAAATATGAAAATATTCATTCCAAAATTATGAACAAAGTTAACATCATTACATAATTAATACATACAAGGAATATTTAAATTAATCATTTCCACCGAACAAGATATATGATCCGCTGGATTGTCTGAATTATGAGCAAATCTTCTCTCTTCTCCAGTTACTAAATCACAAGGAGTTCCCTGATTAGAATTATAAAAAATATAAGTTTGTTAAAACTTCTTTAAATTCTAAAATACTTTGAATAGATATATGATAAGTATACTAACCATATCATTACATTTATTATATACTTCTGAAACTAATAATTTTAATGGTCCACAATATACTCCACTTTTTGCTCTGATGAATCTTTCTAAAGCATGATAAGTTTTACCACTATTTGTTGGACCAGCATGAAATATAATTTTTCGCGTTTTTGCTCTTGCATATGGATACCTATAATTAAATTATACATATTATTCGGTTACTTTTTAAAGATTATTCAGTATATGTGCACTCTTACCAATTAGCAGGTGATCTGAGATCGCTAATTTTTTTAAGATCATCTAAGCATTCCATGTGTGGAAACATTTTTTTAGCAAAACGTAAAAAATATGGATAAATATCTGTTACATTTCCAGCATGTTGAAGAATGTCACTTAAAGTAATATGAAGATCAACTGGTAATGATTGCGACTGAATACAATATTCCCTAAATTTTACAAATGCTTGTTTTTGCAAATAATCTATAAAGTATATGCTTTTATATAGATTATTCTTTAAATAAATAATAAATGTTTACTATAATAATATGAAACAAATTTATCTGAACATACCATCTAATCCACATTCCATCGCCAAACTTTTAATTTCCCTTGCCTCTATAAATTTGTTTAAAACTATTAACAAATCTGTTTTATTTAAATTACCAGTCAATTCGCTTCCTATATTAATATCATCTGAATTTGACTTTACGGGTACTGGACGAAATAATGTATTTATATTTATATCCTCGGCATTATTTTTACTCTTTTTTCCTCTTTGTATATGTATGATACTTGCTGTCGGATTTATTAATCTAAAATAGTAAAAAAAAAAAAATATATAAATCTTTTACAAACAATTATCTAAATATTTATTCTGCGTCTAATAAATCAATTAATAATTTAGGAAATTAAATAGGTTACCTTTTCAATAAAATACATGCTAAAAAAGAACCTCTTTGTATATACTGTTCACAGATAAATGTCTGTATCGATAACATTTTTACCAATTATATCTGTAATTATTATATCATTAAAATAAATAATAACAAAATTAAAATTTACTCCACTCACATGAATCAGCTTTATTGAGTCACAATTACAATAAAAATGTAATATTAGTTATAACAATTTTCTAGATGTTCAAATGAAGGATCACTTTTAGGTTCTTTTTCAAAAGAATTATATTCTTTTATGAGTTAAAGAAAATTACTTCATTTATTAATCCTTTTCTATAAATAGAAGTTCTATAAATTCATATTTAACATCTACATGTGATTATATTAAATCAAACTAGACTAGATACAGTGAAATTACATCAATCGTTTCTTTTACGCACTTGTATTCAGTATATAATATGGCGATATTCAATCAGCTGTTTTCTATCTTAATGTATTTTTAACGCAATAAATACTTACAAATAAAAAATTCGGAACGAAATTCATAAGAATTATCGTTGTGAAGTCATCCATTATATTTTTGTTAATATTAAAAATGAACAAAGGTTGTTGGAAATTTGACGAGGAAGATAAAGGTAAGTTAATTATATTTTTAGATTGTATAGAGATAAAAGAAATAAATAAAATTAAGGTTAACAAATCTTACATATATTTTAGAAAACTAATACAAATAAAAATCTTTACTAGTAAAATGTTAAAATCAAAAAATTTATATATATATATATAAATAGTACTTTAAACTATATAAGCTCCAACATAAATAGAGTCGAGGATGTATTAACTTGCCATTTACAGCATTGTATATAGATTGGGAAGAAGATACGGAAGATGAACAGTCATCCAAAGTATTTAGCTGTTGGGATAGAATACCTGACATACTTTTGGAAGAGATATTTTCGTATTTAACTATTCGTGAGCGATACTATGCTTCTCTTGTATGTCGCTCTTGGTATCATGCATTCAAATTGCAGAATGTATGGTCTACATTTACATTAGAAGATACAACCTTAACAAGAGGAAAATTTAATTATTATAGTGGTTGGCAATATGTTCTGGATCATATCAGAACATCAACTTGTCTTAATAAAGTTGGAAAAAATTTTAGAACTCTTGTCTTTGAACCTATGTTAAATTTTTATAATTTATATGAATTTATGAATATGATATCTTGGTATACGGAAAGACAAGGATCAGATAATACTTCTGTAGCAGGTGTAGGTATTAATATTCGAAGGCTTAAGTTTACATTTCCTTGTAATATGGCAAACAGAGATGATCCAGATCGTATTAGACTTTTTGGTACAGGAGGAAAGCTGCTAGAAGCTTTGAAGAGACTTATGAGGAATTTAAAGAATTTAAAATGTTTAGAATTAATCGATTTAATGCTTGATAGTAAGGAAGCTTTACATTTAATGGATGATATTTGTGAAAATTGTACTCAGACTTTATCAAAGTTAATATTAATAAATACTACTAGGTACTATTGTCCATTGTTGCATGTAGGAGTATTTCTTAATTTGAATGTAAGTCCTTGTCGAAAGAATCTACTTTTGTTAAATAAAATATATAAAATACATATAAAACAAACGATATGACTATTATCTATTTTTTGTTAAGGTTCTTGTTATAAGTCCACAAAATCTTCATGAAGATGTCATTGAATTACTTGGACATACAAGATTAAAACATCTTCATATTTTACAAAATCGATATAGTCCGAAGGATACAACTGTTAGATTGGTAAAAAAAAAAAATTGTTAAGTTATGGAATTTTCATAATCTTAAAAGGAAAAGAAAATGCTAATAAAAATATAATTACAGCCAAAAAGAGCATCATGGATAAAAATGAGATCAAATAACCCATATATAAAAGTACATTTTGAAATAGAAAGTCGTAAATCTACAGATGTACTTTTACCAATAGATCTGTTAGAACACAGTGCTGTACCATGTCATAGTATAGTCATAGACAATCCAAGTACACAGGTTAGTAGAATATATTTTCTGAAAAAATATGTTACAATTATATATGTATATATAATCATAATCATGAGGTATTACAGATTTCACCATCATGGATCATTACACATGGTTCTTTTTTCGATTCAACAATTCGAATTTATGCATTCAAGGGAATAACAAGATATTATTTACATAAAAATTTTTCTAAAAGATTGGACGAGGCATTGGTACAATTTTGCAAAATGTGTCCCAATCTACACACTCTGGTAGCATTTTGTGTTTAAAGAAATTTCTGATCTTGTCAATTTGTGATAGCTTTCTTAAGCCCTACACTGATGCTAATTAATGCCTTAATTGTGTAAACATATGTATGCGAGTTTTTGCATTACAAAATATTTTTTTTAGAGTGTAAGTTCCTCTAACAAAATTTTCTAACCCTAAAACTTTTAACACTTTTACGTCGTTAAATATTCTATTGAAATATTAAATGAACTTTTCAATTTTTTTTCAAGCATTATATGTCCTTTCTGTGAAAACTGATCAACATACATTTTATGAATTTGTTAATAATGTATAATTTTCTGTGTACAATTTTATATAGTCTCACACACAGAAATACTCAGACACAATTTAATGTTGATAAAATTGATTTAAAAGTAACTAACCGTATTATCTTGTATAATATTTTTCTTCTTTTTTTTTCGAGCATGACTGTTAACATAATTGTTATATAAAAAATTATTTTCCATACAGATGATTCGTGATAAAATATCAACATCAACGATACTAGAAATAGTTTCCACGGCAAAATTCCTTCGTTGTTTGTACGTTCGACGTAATGTGGTTTTAAAAAGATGTGATGGAGATTGGTTAAAAGTATCATGTTGGACACCTGAACATTATCAATGGCTAAGAACGAATAGTCGTAGTTATGACGATACAGAGAAAGAAGTATCAAAAATATTAGGTTATAGATGGCATATGCTATCTGAAAAAGAATTTAAGAAACAAACAATTAATTTACATATTTAACTGATATCTAGAATATAAGATTATTTATATTCGTACATTATGTGCCTGATAAAAAATATGTAGGATCGAAGCGATAAAGTACAAGTATTAATATTATTCTATCTGCAATAACAAAAAACATTCAATTTTTCTTATAATCTAAAATTTATTTACAAAGTAAATAAATTATATTAAAAGATTATATCAGTATAAACTTTGTCTAAATTTAATAAAATCATAATAATATATGATGAAAAAGTAATGACACGATTGCAACATAGCATTTAATATGATTATAAGTTTTAGCAATATAAATGTATTATACTGATCTTCTTATGCGGAAATATTTAATTACAATACTATATTTGGCTAATGTATCTTATTGACTTTATTATTATCATAATTTTATAAGTTGCAATATTATTGAGATTAATAAATTGACTATGATTAGAAATTCGATACATGAAAGAAAAATGTATCATACGCGATATAAAGAAAGGACTGTTGTAAATAAAAAAGAAATATGATATAATGTGTAATAACAATTTCATCCAATCTGAGGTACTACTTTTATTTATATCCTTCGTTTTCTGTTCTGACGATCATCGTTATAATATACGTCACTATGTACAATGAATACAAATACTTCATACAACATTATAATTATACACGATTATTTAGTCAAATTGAATCGCAACTGTTAAATTAACAACAATTATGTAAATATTTAATTCTACCTCTCAATTTTTTTTATTAAAATATTTTAACTTGACTATAAAGTTAAAACACATCATATTGAACATTATAAAATATACTATAAATTTTTACGATTATCAGTATAATGCCTTTAAACTTCAATTAAGAAATTAATCAAATTATAATAATTTTTCAACTCTTGGAACAGTAAAACGTGCAGTTGTTATTAATATACCCAAAATTTTATAAATATAAATCTGTTATTGTATATACAGAATATTAATTGTACAAAATAATCACATTTCCAATTTTTTGTGAATAGTTTAAAATTCAATGATTTATTTAATTTCATATGAACCTATATTACGAAAAAAATGAAACGTTTCATAATAATCTACCACTGTTGAGTAGATACAATAAATAAAAAATCGTACTTGATTAAATCGAACAAATTTTTTATATAGAAAAATTTAATACTTGACTTGCAGTAACTTAAGTTACGGTGCCATGGCTGCAAATCGTTTATCCCTAGTTTTATTGCGTAAAATAGTGCGCGCTTTGAAAGCAGCTGCATTCATTAAAGTCTGAAAAAGATAATATATTTTCATAGATTTTTTAATATACTATAATTACGATAATGTTCTCCTTTAAAACTATACTTACTCTCTCTAATTTAGTCGTTTTCTGAGACGTTATAGGCAACACTTTATTACCTAGATGGAAAATTTCACGCAATAACTGATTTTCTGCTAGATGGATGTTTATGCCAGGACCAAGTAATCGACAGCAAGCATTATATTGAGTACGAGCACACCAGCCTTCTAAATATAACGTTTCTTGTCCAAATCTAACATGCATTTCTGGAACAATATCTTCCTGAAAAGTGAAAGATATTTAAATGAATTTTATAGTTATTCAATTTATTCTGTTATCAATGAGCACATATAGAAAATGTTGACGAAATATTTACCTCCACATATCGTAATATATCTCGGAAATTAGCCCTTTGTTGTTTCCGATCTTTCTTTGCTCTGTATTTATTAGAGTCTGTAGCTAGTTCTTTGAGTACATCAATAAGACCAACTGCCCACTCCTGCTCATAATCGTAGGAAAAATCACGACCAAGTTCAAATATCACAGCAAGAGCTTCACCTGCAGATAACCTCACATCGAGATGTGGTGATTCTAATAATTCACGTAGTCTATTGAGAGAGCTATAATTTCACGAATTAGTTATTTAACAAATATAACAAATATAACAAATATATCAAATATATATATATATATATTTAATTATTTATTTATTTCATACTAACGGCATGTAATTATTGCTTCTATCACTGGCAAGCAGATTATATATTTCTGCAGAAGTCATGACAGTTAAGAGAAGGGTCCATGATGAAATTGCTGCTGCATGAAGTGCTGCTACATCTGCAGAAACTGCTGCTATTGTACCATTTCCTTTTAAATATGAACCAGAAAAAATGCCAGATAATAATTGAACAATATCAAGTGTATCAGCTGCATCGTTACCAGACAAAAACTGATTCATGCTTAATGCCCAACAACACTAAAAAAGTAATATTGCTTAATATATAGTAATAGAAATCAAACAAGCATAAGTAATT